TTTAATGCGCATGATAGTATCGAAGAGCACGCGCGATTACGTTCAAACACAAAAACCGGAGAGCAGGAGGGAACGGGTATCAGTCAACCAACTATATACTATTGAAATAAATACGATGGAATTCTAATCAATATCACATGCGAGATCGTTTATTTCCTCTAAACTATACACTGTATTCGGCCCGCGTGTTTACGTTCACAAGACGTTCGCGCGACAATAACATGCGGAGTTGGATGGCTCGCCGCTCTTTGATTGCCGAGATAATGCATGTACGTTTTCTAGCGAGTACGAGAGATTAGTTATTTAGTAATTCTGTCGCGATCGCGAAATTAAGCTGGCCAGATTATCTTGTTATCAGTTGTACGACAGCACGAAAGTGAAAACGCTCGCACCCTAGTTGCGGAAAAGTCAGTCCTTGCTGTGAGGTATCTCTCGTTCTCAGTTTCGCCCTCGATGGCGAAACTGCTCACTCGCACACTAGCACGTACTCCACTTCGTCAGGCTGTGGCACAGCTTCTCTCTTATCGTCTCTGCACTCCGGAAAACTCGAGAAAACGTCAAAGCTATTCGCTGCACGGCTCGGCAATCGGATCCTAATCCTCGACTGGTTCGTTTTTGTACGCGCGCGTTCCGTGACGTCTCGTGCCGAATTCCTCTAATTCATTTTCCCCCAACCGGCAAGTGCTGCCCTCGCCGGCAGCCACATAGTTGGGCCGATAGCGCTAATACGACGTAACCGTCACAATTGTTAGAATTTAATACAAACTATCTATAATCATAGAGAGAGAGAGAGAGCGCGTACGAGAGAGAGAGAGAGAGAGAGAAGCATCCACACTATACGGCGTACGCACCTAGCAAGCTAGAGACGTACCCACTCTCCGAGAGCCCAAACTTAGCCAGTATAAGCTTACTATGCTCCCTATTGTAGAAGGAGAATGAGAGAGACCATCATATAGCTTACTAAATACCATACCAACTTCTACAGCATCCTACCTTACCAACCTCTGTAGGTGGATGTGGGTGAGTGAGGGTAGGTAGGTGGGTGTGGTGGGTGGAGTAGGTGAATGTGTGGGTGGGTGGGAGGGGGTGCACGCTGTCGGAGGGCCCACTGGTAAATCCTAAGTAAATTAATACATTATTGACTTTTTAATTTAGTTTATTTTATTACTTATTTTTTATAAATTTTACAAAATTAAAATTACAGTTTTTTTTTCTTTTTTTAATATTATTATTATTATATATATTTTCTTGATCCGACGACCTTCGAGGGGCGAGTCGGTTTTCTCACTGTTGGTTGGGCCAAAATCAAAATAACTTTTCGTCGAACACACTCGACATTCTTCACCAACGGAATTTTTTTCTGTAAAAAAATTTTTTAATTATTATTTTTAATTTATATTTATTAATTATTTCTATAATGTAAGTACGTACAGTAGGCATGCCGGTGACTTGAAATTGAATAATAATATTATTAAAAAAATTCTAAAAGTTATTTTAATTATTTTTAAATTATTTAACATTATACTTACAGTTTCTAAAAACTCACACGCTTTGATAATATTTTCCATAGTTTTTGTTTTTCTTTTTTATTAATAAACTTTATAAAAAATATAAAACCTTACTGATGTTTAACTAATCAGCACGAACAGCTCGAAGTTTCCTTTAAGACTGACCAACGAAAATCCTATGAACACTCACACTATTATCAGGTACGAATTTTCTACAATATATGTAACGCTACACACAAACGTAGACATTCTTTGAGTGAGATAGGACGTTTGGTGTACCCTTTCCCTCCCCATGTAGGCTAGAAAGATTGTCACTTTCTAAAAACTCTATAAATCTTGACGTCCCGCTGACTTTATGGTCATCCGCAACAAACGTATTAAACGCAGATGGTCACGCGTCCGCGCTAATGAGTTTGTTTGATCATCCTTAAACCGTCTATGATCTGCATTTGTGATAGTCATATGCAACATAAGATAAGAGGGAAGGTAATAAGCATAGATGCTTTCTCTTTCTGAAAGTAGTGGAGAAGCTTGATCACCCTCAAACCAGCTGTGATCTACATTTGTGATAGACATAATCAACTTAAAATAAGACGGTAGTTACTAAGCATAGCTGCTCATGCGCTCCCCTCCTCCTCGCTGTGGTCTACGCTGAGTCAGAGCTAGAGAGAGAGAGCACGCGTTTACTACTACTATAGTAGCGCATCCTCATCAGGCCAGAACTATAGACAGCATTATCGTTAATTAACATTGATTTTATTTGAAATATTTAATATAATCAATTTTATAGGTATATTATGGAGAAATGGTATTTTACCATATAATTTTTTAAATTGTACTATTCGTAGTCATTTACATATTTGTAGAAATATTTATGTGAAAGGATTATAAAAGAAGCAATGGCTCAAAAAAATTATTCCTGAAAAGTAAGTTCAAATAATATACAATAGTACGAAATTCTAAATTCAAATTTAATTAGTTTTTTTTTTTAATTACAGAAATATTTTAGATATCGAAACTGAAATGAGATGTCCGCGATTGGAAAATTTAAGTCTTAAATTTAAACCATCATGTATATATCATAGTCAAAATCGCGAGAATATAGTATGTGTTGCGGTAAATATACAAAAGATACACGATTGGATGATGGAAAGACAAAGACAAGCAAAATCGAAAGGGATCGATACAGTCGAAAGATTTACAGATGACTATAATTCATATAAAAATTGAACTAAATATTTAAAAATAGCTATGTCAGACACTGAACACAAAGATTATAGACAAAGTGTACTCTACTCAATGTATAATTAAAAATAATAAATATTTAATAAATAATATAATGTGTACTTATTTAAATAATAAAATAATCATAACGATTGCAAGAAAGGGCGAACGGATGGGAATAAGGTTCTCTCCTAGCAGAGATATTTAGGAGGAACATCTCAAGGAGGTGTCAGTCGAGCGACTGCACTCGTAGTCTCTAGCATTCTCACGAAAACAGTTCCCTTCGTGGAGAGAGTATGCGTTGACTATAGACAGCATCGCTCCCCTCCTCCTCCACACGCTGTGGTCCACGCTGAGTCAGAGCTAGAGAGAGGAAGAGAGAGAGAGAGACAGCATGCATCCTCAAGTTAGAACTATAGACAGCATGCCCTCCCCCTCCTCCGCACGCTGTGGTCCATGCTGAGTCAGAGCTAGAGAGAGAGAGAGAGAGTACGCATTCTCAAGTTAGAACTATAGACAACATGCGCTCCCCCCTCCTCCGCACGCTCAGGTCCAATACCAAATGTATGCGCGTATAGCTAATATACACAATATGCATCCTCTAAGGTACATGTGGTATTGGCTCTAGTGGTAGAGCGCTAGCTTACCAATCCAGAGGACTCCGGTTCGATTCTCTGGTCTGTCTCTTCATTTTTTTCAAAAATCGTCGCTATTTTCTAATCGTTTTATTTTCAAAGTAGCAAGTGAATTGTGAATAATATATGTTTATAACTTAAAAAAAAATACATTTAAATTTAATTAGATAGAAAGCACTAGGTATAGGATCCCTAGGGACTAGGAGCCTTAGAAACCTTCCTCAAAAAATTATAAACAATTATAAACATTAATAATAATTAATATGGAAGGGTTATGCCAGGGAATCAAAGGGTTAAACCAGGGACCCCCCCTCCCCACGAATATTGTTAATAATAATTGTTAACATTAACAATTATTATTAACATAAAAGGGTTAAGCCAGGGAGGAGGGCCAAAGGGTTACGGCCCATCGCAGGTGTGCTGGAACATACATTGCTATACTACTTGCGTATACGCTTCTACTCTTCTGGTTTTAACTTCTTGCATACGCTCGAGTCCCCGATAATCATTGGCTATCTTGTAAGTTGTGACGATCTTGTTCGATTGCAAGTCGCACCCGCTCAATATTATCTGCGGTTTTTGTCGTCAAAGGTCGGCCGGAACGAGAATCACTATCGACAGAAGTGTGACCATCCTTGAACCGTTTATACCACTCTTTTATTCGTGTTTTACTCATACACTCGCTTCCGAAGGCCTTTTGCATCATTTCAATAGTTTCCGAACTCGTTTTTCCGAATTGAAAATAAAATTTGATGCAAATTCGTTGATCTTGTTTTTCAGTCATTTTTAACAATATCAAAATCCGACGAACGCGAAAAAGGCACTGTAAACAAAGACACGCTACGCATGAACTATACGTCCGGCAGGTGTCAGTAAGTAAGCAATAGATTCGTGAGGCTTTACTGTTGACGTTTCTGTCCGGTAGAGATCGCTGGAACACTGTGGCGCGAAGATATAAACGTAGTCCAGATACTTTCCGAACAGACCTCTTAAACGTTATCTTCTATATAATAAAAAAACATTATCGTTTTTGAATTGTAAAAGTGAGGTTTGTTTAGACCATACTAAGTGCATCAGCCGTTAGTGTTGCCAAGTCTGTACTGGAGCAAATTTAAGTCTAGCACGGTCGAGTTGGCCTGCATCCGTATAGTAACATGTATATACTATAGGCCGGCAATTAACGAGAGGCCAGTGGATGCCGACTAGCAATAAATCAAACCTTTACTTACCTGAGGTCTAGGCTTTTTTGCTTGACGTCGGATGCGAAACTACGCATTTGCTCTAGGATTATTTATTGTCCATATATTTTAGGTTAGGATAACTCGAAAACCTTTGACAATGGACCAATTCTGAAGCCATATTTGAATTCAATGCTTCGAAAACCTACAGAAATATACTGTCGCATTACTGTCAGCATAAATAAATCTGCTATTTATTTCTCAACTTAAATATTCTGATGTCAAACTTTATACATAGTAATTGTTTATATTAAACAAATAAATGAGAAATAAAATTTAAAAGATGTGAATAAGGAGGATGGAATAGGATTTACGTTAATTAGATCATTAAAAGTATTGAATATTAATAATTTAATGTATGAAAAATCTATTATTTTGATTAAAATTACTCTTACCATTTTGTGCATCAATAACTGCTGGTTCAACTTGCGCTAAATCAGCCATAACATTATCACGCTTTTGATTTATAGTTACTGTTTGTATCGCTAGTTGATGTTGAATCTCTTGGCTTTGAACTTTTTTCTTTTCAGCCTCTTGTTGATCTTTTACCATCTGTCTCAACTTTGCATTAGCTGCTTCATTTTTTGCTTGTAATTCCTATAGAATGGATATTAGAAATTTAATATATGGTAACTATATTTTTTTATGATAGGAGTTAATAGATATTTTGGTATTATGTTTCGTTATTCAAAAATATTAATGCAGCGTTGACGGGTCCTCTCTATAACCTAAATTTAAATTCATTTAAAATATTGTAACGGAGAAACTAACTGACATTGATAGGTCGAAAATACTATAACACTAGCGTAATCTTAAAACTTTTTGTTCGAATATACACGATGTTTGAAAAACATTGAATGAAACTTATATCTCTGGATTCGTTTTGAAAAGTTATTTAAGATAAAATTAACAAAAAATTTTTTATTAATGTGAAAATGAGTAAATTAATGTTAAAAAGCAGCCAATTAGCGAACGATTTTAGAATGTAGACCATACTACGGCTAACAGGGAACGTTTTACGTTCTAAAGCGAGCGGGGAGCGGCGAAGAGGCTGACATGTGCGACTCGCGCAACAGTCTACTCGAAGCAGTGCCCAACTACATTTATGTGCATCATGAATCTTGCTTTCAAATTGAAGTATTCAGTAACTCAGCTTAATAAATAATATTACTTATGGATAGAATTATTATGATCGAAATCGATCGACGAATTAAGTACTCGTAAGTTTTTATAAGCCTTACAATTTAATTAATGCTTAATATATTTTAGATATAGGACTTCCGGTTTGACATCGAAACGAGAAATAACGCAGCGTAAGAGCAGCAAGAATTAAATTGGAAAAAGTAGAAGAAACACAACAAAGAAAGTGAAAAAGAAGCAAAAAAAGATTGAGGTAAAAGAAAGAAGATAAAGGAAAGTGAAGGTGAACGAGGGTGAATTACTGGAAGAAAGAAAAAGGCAAAAGAAAGGAACGAATAAAAGTGAGGCTAAAAGAGCGGGAGAAGGGAACAGAAAAGAGGTAGGATCAAGAACAGAAAAATGAATGAGGAGCAGGAAAACAAGAAGAAAAAAAGGCTCGCAAAGAGAGAACGGAAAAAGAGTGAAAATGTACAGGAAAACAGTCTGAAAAAATTCATGGTGAAAGTATGGGAGGGGGGTGTAATAGGAGAGATTGACGAAAAAGGATGGGAAAAAATAGGAAGTGAGGCAGAAGAGAACAAAGAAGGAGAAAAGTGGTCAAGACTGGAAAACAGCAAGAGCGCGGCGGACTTTTAGGAAACCATGAAAAGTTTCAGGAGAAAAAGAAGCAGAAAAGTTACAGGAATCACGGAGAAAGAATGACAGAAGCAATTTAATCCGAAGGAGGAAGTGAGCGAGAAACCGATGACGAGATAAGGAGTATCGAGAAAGGATAATGAAAAACCCGGGGTCAGGGAAGAAAGTAAACTAAAGGATGAGGTTGAAAAGACGAAGAAGTGGAGCAAACAGAGCGTTATGAAATGAAAAAAAATCATAGAGAAGGTGGAGAAGGCAATAAAAGGACTAAAAAAAGGAAAAGCGGCTAGACAGGATGGAATTCCGGTACAGTTCTCTAAGGGCTTAACTGAAGGCTGGATAATTGAGCTGAGTGAGACTTTAAACGAGATTTAGAAAAAAGGAGAGCTACCTGAGGATTGGAAAAAAGCTCGTATATTCCTAATATATACATTTGGCAAACATAACAAGGCAGAGAATTACAGAGGAGAGTCTCGGCTTAACGTGGGATATAAGTTATTGGCGGAAATTCTGAACAACGGGCTTAAGACATGGTTAAAAGAGGAAGGGCTACTATGGAAGAGTCAGGCGGGGTTGGGTTGAGTTTAGAGCAGGAAGAGGAACGAGAGATCATATATTTACGCTAAACAGCATTATAGGGAACAAAATTAAGAGAGAAGGAGAAAGCATTTTCCTAGCCTTCATCGATTTTAAGAGGGCCTTTGATTCGACGGACAGAAAAATACCATCAAGAAAATTCGAAGAGGAGGGAGTATCTGGAAAAATGCTGAGGATAATTAGAAAAATCTACAGAGAGACAACATGTGATGTAATTATGGAATATCTGAAGAGTTCAGAACAGAGAGAGGGGTTAAACAAGGTTATCCTTGAAGTCCAACACTTTTTAACACTTACCTAAACGATATAGACGAGATGTGGGTTACCAAAAAAAAAGGGCTCCGTAATTGGAGGAGAGAAAGTATACGGTTTAAAATTTGCAGATGATATAGAACTGCTAGCAGACACTCAGGAAGGTTTTCAAGAGATACAAGATATCATGCAAAGATACAACAAAAGGAATGACATAAAATTCAACGTAATGAAGATAAAGGTAATGGCACTAAGGAGAGGAAGAAAATTAAAGAGGAAAGTAGAATGGAAATATGAAGGGGAAAAGCTGGAGGTAGTGAATGAATTTAAATATTTAGGATTCTGGTTTACTTCGAGAGGGGAACATGGAACACATATAAGAAAAATAGAATAAAAGGCGCAGAGGACAGTAAACAGCGATTGAGGTCTAATGAAGAGAGTAAGACTGAATGTCTTGGACGGAAGACTATTAATATCAAATTCAATGCGAAAAGCGGGTTGCTTATATGGATCAAAGGTTTGGGGATGATCGAAACAAGAAGAACTGGAAAAGGTACAGTTAAAAATAATCAATATGGCACTAAGCATAAACAGGAATACTTTATGTTATGTATGGAAAATGGAGGCGGGAGTGGAAGGCTTTTACTTAGAAACGATAAAGAGAATGATGATATATCTGGTGAGATCTCTGAGGTGGCGGATAATAGACTATCAAAAATATATTTAAAGGAGGAAATAAGAGAAGTGTTGAACAATAACCCAACAAGATGAGGAAAGGAATGGCTAGAATCGGCTACATAAACAGGGAACGGGGAACTGAAGGAGCTCATGAAAAAAGGAATTGAAAGAGGGAAACTGCAAGAGATAGTAAGAAAAATGAAATAAACACTTTATCCTCATGTTATTACTCTTTATTATCACATTAGATAAACTTTTCTTTAGAATTTTTTTCTGTTTTTTTCTAAATGAACTGTGCTATCTTACAAGCTAATATTGCAACTAATAAAATTAAAATAAAAGTTAACAAAAATAAAAAATATCTAAAAATAAGTAAAAAATTAATTATAAATATGTTTTTACAAACATTGCCAAATGTATTTTACATTTTTCAATTTTCTTTTCCAAATAAAGACATTATTAAAAATAAATAATTAAAAAACTGTTGACACAGATGATGAAGCTTATACTTTTTCCAATTATTTGTCTGTGACACTTGTAGGCATACTTTGTCAGAAATGTTCTTCCCGCTTCGCCAAAGCAAAACGCAGAAAAATTGATCAACCACAAAATGGAAATAATTTGCAAGTCAACAGTCAAGGATAAACTTCTTCTTTAAAGGCATTATCACAACCACCATGATGATACAGTTTATGTTCCGTCAAGGGAAAGAGTTATTGAAAAAGAAAAAGAAATTAATGAGCTACCTTTAAAAATAGTAGTTTCTACTCATAATTACTGTTGTTTATGCAAAAGCAAAATAAATATTGTTATTGTTCCTTTAGATGCAAGAAAACAAGCTTTTGTTGGAAAAGATATATTAATCCTAGAGAATAATACAAGATAGATGTTGCCGCAGACACTCAATAAAGGAAAGATTTCATTCAGATGAGTTCATTAATTTAAAAGTAGTTTCATTCATTCACCACCATTCAGCCACCAGAATAGCTGCAGATATAACAAAACTATTTAAATCTTTGAGTTTAACTTCTGACAGAGAATTACACTACCAATTCGGTGATTTTTCAATCTCTGAATAGAGGATTCGTATGTTTACTGGATTAAATTGAGTACAACTAATAGAATTGCGAGAAATTATAGTTTTGTTGCGGAATACCGACAATCGGACTGTTACGCAAGCCGTTGTTGTTTTTTTCAGATAACGAACAGGAAGCTCATATGAGATCGTCTATTCTGTTCTCGGCCTTGATCGTCATCAGCAAATCTCTGAATTTTTAAAGTCTGTGTTAAGTACCTTTGAAAAAGGTGTACTAACTTCACGGTTTGGCTTACAAGCCGTCAATCGAGAAGACTTGATTTTTGATCATTCAACAATTCTCCTTCAGAAGCTTCATGGCGTAAGTGATAACAATCTTTCAATAGTTGGTAATAGCACTTATTTGAATCATCAAAAAAGTTCCAAAAACGAATACCAACGAAGATCTTTTGCTAGACATAAGAAAGTTCCTCTGTGCAAGTCTTTTATTCTTTGTACTTCGACTGGTTTTATTGTTGGTATACTGGAACCATTATATGCTAAAGAAAACGATTTTATGATATTCGAAATAATTTTGAAGGCTCCCCATAATAATTTAAAGAACTTTATGTGCCAAGAGGGTGATGTTTTTATACTTGATCGAGGATTTCGCGACATAGTAGCAAAATTAGAAAATAATGGTTATCGGGTCCTCATGTCAGCCTTAAAAGATAAAAATCAGAAACAATTGTCAACGGCAGATAGAAAAAAATCTTGACTTGGTACGATACTTCGATGGATCTTGGAAGCGGTACATGGAGCTATAGCTCAGATGTATAAGTTTTTACATCAGCAATTAGATACTCGTTACCTGACTGAAGCTGGTCTTTAATGCAGAATTGTTTGCTTTTTAATTAATCAATTCGGAAAACGACTCGTGTCAAGGGTTTTAACCGATAATGAAATACTCAATTACATTCTTTCAAAAAATTCCAATGAAAATAGTTTAGCAATGGAAGATATAGTCATTTCAGGATATCAGGAAAATATAGTCGAAGAAAGAGTTTTTTCAAAACGTTAAGATCTGCTGAGTTAGAAGATTTTCCTGAAATGACAAAACAGGATCTAGTCAAACTATTCATTGGAACTTACCAATTAGTTCATCAGCAGTTACTACCGTTAATCTGCTGATCTTCTCAAGTTACAAGTGAGATCTAGACATATTGAAAGTAAACAATACAACTGCTACATTCACTACAAACCAAATACCATTGCCTGT